CCTCAACTGCTACCTCACAGTCTGGCCCTGAGTAGCCTAATTCCACTGGACTCAGAATTGCCTGATGCTGGGAGCAGGGATTTGCCCCGAGTGTGGAGGCTTGGTCTGCTGAAGCTGAAGGGGGAAAAGGGCTGGTCCCTGCACCATGTCCAGCATGTGCTTTGTGACATGTTTGTCTCCCCAGAGGCTTGTTTTTACTTAAGCTCTGCCTGTGCCTGTGCCATGAAGGGCCTGGGTTGCTAAGATGGGATATACATCCATCTGAGTGATAGAGGACTACTCTAACTGGCTTTGACTTCCCGGGTAGTGCAGATACAGTTTCTTAAGAAATCATCCTCCTACCTGCCCCTCACTGCTAATAGTGCTTTATGGCTTCGTATTCCTGTTGCTGAATTTCTCTCTCAAAATATTTTAGCTTGCTTCCCCCAGATGCCCAGCCAACTTCCTTAGGTGCATCGTAAATCTCCCATCCAGATCCGCTCTGGTAGATTATCCCAAGGTGCTGCTCACAGCAACTCAGTATGAACTCTCCGCAGACTAATGTCACTTACGTGTTTATAACACAGCTTTCAACTGTGGTGATGTCAAGATAAATCATTGTTAGAACTTGTGTGCTGGCAGAAGCCAGGGACCTTAGTGCAACCTCTTTATTTTATAGGTGAGTACAACAAAGGCCAGGAGGTCAGGTGACTCTTTCAAGGTCACTCTCTCAAGGTCACCTGACTAAAGTGGGAGTAGGAGCTAGATTTTCTGTCTTTCGCTTCAGTAGTCTTTCTATTACACCAAAAGCTATTTCTTTTCTATTTTTAAACATTTTTCAACTTTATAAAAATTGTGGGAAAATATGCATAACATAAAACTACCATCTTAATCATTTTTAAGTGTCCAGTTCAGTGACATTAAGTACATTCACATTGTTGTCCAACCATCACCACACCCATCTCCAGAACTTTTTTCATCTTCCTGAACTGAAACTCTACCCATCAAACACTAACTCCCTCCCCCAGTCTCTGGCGACCATCATTCTACTTTCTGTCTTTATGAATTTGACTACAGTGGGTACCTCATAAGTGGAAGCATAGAGTATTTGTCCTCTTATGTCTGGCTTACTACTTCACTTAACATAGTGTCCTCAAGGTTCATCCATGTTGTAGCAGGTGTCAGAATTTCCTTCCTTTTTAGGGCTGAATAATATTCCATTGTGTGCACACACCGCATTTTTTTTCTATCCTCCTTCTGCTGATGGACATTTGGGTTGTTTCCACCTGTGGCCATTGTGAGCAATGCTGCTATGAACAGGGAGGTACAACTATCTGTTCACCAAAAGCTATTTCTTATGAAAATCTTTATATTTAGAGGCACTCACTGCTGCCTGATATTGCTATTTTTTTTTTCTAATGGAAAGTTTAGAAAATACAAAAAAAGCTCAATGAGGAATATACGAATTACTGATTTTTTATGGCATGTATTTCCAGAATTTCATACTCATGTTACCCCAATTTTAAAAGTTTATATAGGCTGAGAGAATTTAAACAGGTAGGTCAATCTGTGTAGTAGGGAGGACCCCTGAAAATAGTTAAGACAGAGTATGAACATGAATGTGACCTTGGCTATCCCTGGCATTTTAGAGATGAGTCCATCCCAAAGTATAATCTTACCCTAACGGTACCACAGCTTTTTAGTGGTGCTTCTTTGAGACAATTTTAACATCTCAATAGAGTGTCTTAATGCTAAGAAGAGTCGGAATTTTGAATGGGGGGAATGGGGGTTGTCCCAGTTATATTTCTTAAATATCCACTAGGGGGCGGTAAAAGACATAAATTTTTTAACAGGCCTGATGACTGCCAAGCAATCAGGCCACCACATCCTCGTGGTATCTCTTTCAGCCATCAATGCATACAGTTACAAGATAATGGATTTCACAGCCAACAGCAGGTTTGCGTAAAAATGGAGATACCATCAGCTTTAGCCTAAGTGCAGGTCTTCCTCATGTTCAGGCTGACATCGATGCAGAAAACTTCATTTAGTATGTTAATCCCAGATTATCTTTTTAGTTAAGTCACATTAGTCCAGTGACTCTCAAACTGCGTGAACATCAGAATCACCCACCATACTTTTTCCAAAATACGCCTGCCCAGGTCTTTTCCCACATCTGTTACATCAGAATTTGGAGGGTTGGGGCCTAGTTATATAGATTATATTTAGATTCTGGTCCATGACTTCTTGCTAAGAACCAATGCATTAGTTCTTAACATTAATAACTTTAAATAGCTGGGGGGAAAGGGTCACCCTTGAGTAAAACCTCAGAGGAGAATGGATTTGAAATTTTGGAAAATCTCTCTCCTTTTTTAAAATAGAAGTTGCTGAAAGGTCTGAGGGCTGGGGGAACCACATTCAGCACAACTATCTGGCTTTCCCATTGACTGTGCCAGGAACCCAGACAGAAGGTCCTGGCAAACTCGGGGTCTGTGCTTCCAGTTCCAAGGAGGCCATGCTCAGGGTCTTTAATGTGAGGACAGAGACCAATCGTGTCTGCTACATTAAGAGAATCTTTCCTATAGTATTCAGGGGGAAAAAAGAACCTTTGATTTTATCTTATCAGAGGTAAAAATGGCACAGGGAATGTGCAGTGGGGTGAGAAGACCTCAGCTTTCAACCTAACCATCCCCCTAGACCAGTGATGGCGAACCTTTTGAGCTCGGCGTGTCAGCATTTTGAAAAACCCTGACTTAACTCTGGTGCCATGTCACATATAGAAATTTTTTGATATTTGCAACCATAGTAAAACAAAGATTTATATTTTTGATATTTATTTTATATATTTAAATGCCACTTAACAAAGAAAAATCAACCAAAAAAAAAATGAGTTCGCGTGTCACCTCTGACACTCGTGTCATACCCTTCTTCCATCACCAGTTGTAGGACCCAAGCAAGTCATGTCACCTCTCAGAGCCTCAGCTTCGGCATTTGAATTATAGAGGACTGGGCTGTGCTGATCTCCAAGGATCATTCCAGTTCTAAAAATTCAGCGATTCTGTTAGTATTAATAATCCTGATTTGTATGGTACTACTCTGGCAAAGAGCAAAAGAAATATCCAGTAATGCAATGAATGGCAGAGACTATTGACCATGTAGTTTAATTTATTTAAGGCATATACTGGATTCAAAGGAGGAAATATTGCTCCTGATAATATATTAAACTGTTAGCATCTTCAGCATTGCAAAAGCTTTCCAGAGGGAGGAATTACCCATCGGTGCAAACCTGACATTTTTCACTTCCTGATCCATAACTGCCATTTCTCCAGCACACTTCTATTTACTGTAAAGGGCCAAGCGTATGAATGCTTTGGATGAATATTAAATAACTACACATCAACGTCAAGGTCACAGTTGCAAGAAAGACTTGGTGGAGGGCCCAGGGAGGCTTGCATTGATCTCTGGTGAGGTTCCATTCTCGAATCCTGCTGACAAGGGGAAAAAATTGATGTGGGCCATTATTAAGGCTTTAAGTGTTTCTCCATTGTTAAAGATCTCTTACAAGCCTGGAGTAACTGATAGTGCCCAAGGAATTGGCAAAAGCTTCACTTAGAAATATAGGCTGGTCAGAGAGATAAGTAAAACCCAGAGTGCACATGTCCTGGGTTGGGCTTACACAGCAAAGGTGGAGGCCACGGCGAGCCCAGCACTGGGGCATGCCGCTGCACTCTGAGTTACACACTTCAGAATGGAAGGAACGCCTGTTCTTGGGCGCTTTCTCACCAGATGTGGCAGAGAGAGTGGCTTTAAAGCCCACCCTTCAATTTCCTCCAGCCCCTCCACCCCGCCCCCCTGTGAAAACCTCCTCTCGTGGCGTTCAGCCCATAGATTCCCCATAGCTGCATGGATATGACAAGGGTCCGGGGGAATTGGCTGCATGTGAATTATGCAGACCTGGATCCAGACTGACTGTCTGGACTGGTCAAGTGGCCTGGATAATTACGTGAATGTCTTGCTGACCTGGAGCTGGTAGGACAGCAAATATTACGGATGGCAGAATCTAGTTTCATAAAAGTCTCAATAGACTGAAGGATTGGCTACGTCTACTAGGTATAATAAGAGATATAAATGATGAAACTAGCATTTCTGTACACTGGCTGTGTTTAGTATTGTGCTTAGCCCTTTGCACATTTTAGTTTATTTCTTCTTTACAGTGACCCATGAGGGTTTGTTTTATATTCCCATTTTTAAGATGAGGAACTCGAGACATGGCAGTACAGAGGGAGGTACGAACATATTAGAGTCTTTGATCTGGATTTCAATCCCAGTTCTGCCCCTCTGTTAGCTGGCAAGTTAGTCCATCTTTGAAAAACAGCCTCAGCTAGGCTTGATGGCTGCCTTGGATGTGTCAGGGCCTGTGGGCTTAACCCTTTGCATTTATCATCTCATTCATCCTCCGAACACTCTTTCTCCTCTTTTACAGATGAGGAAGGCACAGATAACTTAAGTAACTTGCCCAAGGTCACACAGTAAGTAGCAGGGCCAGGATTCTAGACCAGGCAGCCTGATGCGACGCCCAGACTCTTAACAACTGATGTACCATTTCCTGTTTTCTGTATCATAAGAGGAGAGCCATCATACTTTCTTAGATAACGTATGTAAAGTGCCTAATATAGTGCCTGGCACATAGTAGGCACTCTTAAACAATAATCATCATCAATTACATGACTTGCTCAGGGTTATAGCTAATAACCGGCAAAGATCTGGGATTCGAACCCAGGTCTTATGACAGCAAATCCTCAGTGCTCTCGATCTCCCTCCTGGAGGACAAGATTGGGGGGTAGCCTTGGGTTACTGTGTTGGCACCTAGCACAGTGTTATCTCCCTGGCAGGTGCTCAGTGAGTGTCACATAGGCAGGACTCACTTTGTCACTCATTTACTAAACATTTGCCAACATCCTGCTCTGTCTTGGGGGTCCAGAGAGGAGAAGAACATCACGCTAACCTTTCTTTTCTCCCCCCAGGTTCAAATGGTGAAAGATGGTGACCCCTCCTGGAAGCCCACTTTTATTGTGAAACCTGATGGTGGTTGTCAGGGTGACGGAATCTACCTCATTAAAGACCCCAGTGACATCCGCCTGGCAGGGACCCTGCAGCGCAGGCCGGCGGTGGTCCAGGAGTACATCTGCAAACCTCTCCTTATCGACAAGCTCAAGTTTGACATTCGCCTGTATGTCTTACTGAAGTCCTTAGACCCCTTAGAGATTTACATAGCCAAAGATGGACTCTCCAGATTTTGTACAGAGCCATACCAGGAGCCCACTCCCAAAAACCTGCACCACATCTTTATGCACTTAACCAACTACTCCCTGAACATCCATAGCGGTAACTTTGTCCACTCGGACAGCACTAGCACAGGCAGCAAAAGGACTTTTTCTAGCATTCTTTGTAGGTTGTCTTCCAAAGGCGTTGACATCAAGAAGGTCTGGTCTGATATCATCTCCTTGGTGATTAAGACCGTCATTGCCCTGACTCCAGAGCTCAAAGTTTTCTACCAGTCGGACATCCCTGCAGGGAGGCCGGGGCCCACATGCTTTCAGGTAACCAACCCTAGTTCCCAGCTGGGTGTTCCCAGCCTTGGCCTCGTGGGGGACGGAGGGGGGGGGGGAGGGGGGTGGCCTGAGGTGGGGAGGGGTGGCTGCTGGTGTGGTCTTTAGTGTTAAACCGGGGTCCAACTTCTGTTTTCTATTTGCTAGCTGTGTGATTTGGGGTAAGTTACATCCCTCATCTCATCTATAAAATGAGACAAATAGTACCTCCCTTAAAGGATTAAGGATCTTATAAGAATTAAATGAGACAACATATGCAAACCACAGTGCCTGCCATTCATTTATGCATTCTTTCTTTCAGCAATTTTTACCGCCAGCTGAGTAGGGGCCTGGCACTGTCTGAGCTGCTAGTGAGATAGTGGTGTGATGAGACAGGGGTCAGAATTTAGGGGACTGAGCCAGAGTGTGGTAGGGAAGGAAATGAGGATGAGGGTAGAGCATTCTTTCAGGTCATTTGGCTGTGAAGGTGAGGACAGCGGGAGGGGGTGTGCGGGGGTGGGGGGGGGCATGGCACCCAGAAGGCACAGTTTCCTGCCACCAGATAAACTAGAATGGGAAAGAGGTAATAAGACGGAGTCTGGGACCCTCTCCATCTCATCTTTTAAAGTATCTTGCAGCAGTTGTATATAGAAAAGAATACACGGTCATATATGAAAGCTATGAGGCAGAGGAACAAAATAATCATCCCCAACCCACCTCCCAACCCCAGAGTTCCAATTACCACGCTGCTCCCCATCCCATTCTGACCCCCGAAGCAACCATTATCCTGAATTTTATGTTTATCGCTTCCTTGCTTTAAAAATATTTACAGTACCCTGAATGTATCCCTAAACAACGTATTGTTTGCTTTGCTTGCTTTTGCGCTTTATAAGAACTGTTGTAAGGTGTGTAGACATAGTAACATTCTTTCCATGCGTGTTCATGGGAATCGACTGGTGCCGTTTCATTCCCACTGCTGCACAGCCCATTGTGAG